CCACAGAGTTCCCCTTGGGTTGAGAGAATGAATCAAACTCTTAAAAGAGCTCTAGTTAAGCCAAAGATTGAAATCCTAATGTCATGGATAAAATGTCTCCCTTTGGCCTTATTAAGAATTAGAACCCAAGCCCAGTCAGATCTGGGGGTGTCACCCTATGAAATGATGTTTGGTTTACCCTTCCCGACCTCACCCCAGAAGGTTGCCACCTACAAGGAAGGGGAAGCCAATGCCAAGAAATAAGTTATGTCTCTAGCACAAACCTTAAAAGGGCTAAGGCATAAAGGGGCAATTCCTCAAGCTACCACCCTGGATTTCAGAATCCATAATATTAATCCTGGGGATTGGGTGATGATCAAGTCATGGAGAGATCAGCGTCTAACTCCTCAGTGGGAAGGTCCCTTTCAGGTACTGCTCACCACTGAATCGGCCGTGCTAATTGCAGAGTGGGGATGGACTCATGGCAACAGAGTCAAAGGCCCAGTGGAAGAACCCAAAGAGTGGACTATAACATCCAGGCTGGGTGAAACAAGATTGGCTCTCAAGCAGAGACTGAAAGACAACCAGAAAAACACCAAGATGCTCAAAAGGTGGAGTCAAAGTTCCACCAACCAGCTTGAGAACTGTCTTCCTGTTTTAATGGGTGAGAATTACCAGCATCTGCTATGGTGAAGTACACAAGGGACTGTAAAAGGTAATGGAACAGCTTCTTCAATAAAATAAGACAAAGGAAGGAGGGCAAGACTGGGTTAGCCTCTTTGTTTGCTACCAAGAAGCCTCCATAGCCCTGCTGTGGGTAGCAACACCACAGGAATGGTAAGGTAGGGACAAAAGGCCATACCACACCTCTATCATTCCTCAGTTGTCTTTTAATTCAACCGGGACTGGAGGGTAGGAGCGAGTTGGCCTCTGTACTCACCCCTAAGATACACTGACTATTGGTAGCAGCCACATAGGCACGGTAGATGGGAGTCAAAGCCATACTGGACCTCTGTGATGCCCTTTTGTCCAGTCCAAATAAGTGTGTCTAAGGAAAACCTGAGATTTTTTTCTCCTGTTCCCTCTGTCCTTGTCTACATCAACAGGTGCTGGTATGACTCATTCAAGAGACACAGAAAATTTTTACTTAACAGTTTGAGCAAAATGACTTATAGAAAAAGAAAAAGAGAGTTTGTTATAGATGAGTAATCCTATGGTTGAGTCTTACAATTAAGGGGTGAATATTAAATATATGTTAAGAGAAGTTTTGTAGGTAAATAGTTATCCTCCCCTCCCCCTTGCATTGTTATCACAGGATGGCCTCAGTAGTCGGGGCATTTGGAAGGGTTGGCTTGTTACTATGGCAGCACCTGATTGACCATGTTCACAGGGTTCTTGGATGAGGGAAGAGACGAGTATCTGACTCCATGATTCAGAAGGTGTGATTTATTATTTTACGATATATATTACATTAAAAATATACTAAAAGAATAGAAGAAAAGATTTCATCAGAAGGCTAGCTAAAAATAGAATGGAATGATAACAAAGGCTTGTGTCTCGGACAGAGTCCAAGCCAGCTCACTGTAATTGGCCATTAATTAAAAACAACTCTATGAGACCAATCACAGATCAACTTGTTGCATTCCACAGCAGCAGATAACCATTGTTTACATTTTGTTCCTGAGGCCTCTCAGCTTCTCAGGAGCAAAAATCCTAAAGAAAGGATTTTTCATGAAAAGATGTCCGCGACACCTGACCTCCAATCAAGGTGTAAGACACTGATCTCCACCACTGGGCAGCGAAGAAGGAGTCGATTCACAAGACTTTGGGATGGGCCAGAGGTATAAAGACAGAACATCCTTTTGTAGATGAGCACACACTGACTGAAAACTTTGCTCCCGGCACTGTGTTTTTTTCTTTATTCAGTCTTCTGCTGTATTTTGATAAGATATTAATAATTTAAATTTTTGAAAGGGAAAATGGTTTCTCACATGAGGTTGGGGAATGTGGGGCAAGGCTGTCCACACTGGCTCAACTCTCAAGGTAAAACTTCACTGACCTGGCCTGTCGCAGACATTTTTTCACAGAAATCCTTTCTTTGGGGTTGTGTATCTTCTGGGAAGCAAAGGGGCCCCAGAAGAAGAATGTAAACAATTGTTATCAGCTGCTGTGGAATGCAATAGGATGCACCTGTGATTGGTTCATGTTCCAATGTTTATAATTAAGGGCCAATCACAGGAGCAAGCTGGGGACAGAGTCCCTGGACAGAACTTTGTTATAGATTCTTTTCTATTCTTATTCTTAGCTTAGCAGCCTCTGCAACTTCTCTCTTTATTCTATTTAGTATAGTTATAATGTATTATATATCTTATATCAATAAATCCAGCCTTCTGATCAAGAAACATGACTCTCGTCTTTCTCACCACCCCAGCGACCCACTCAGGTCGCTGTAATACTGGCCAGATCTCCTTAGGAGCAGCCCTACATCAATATCAATAACAGAATGCAGCAATCAGCTCTTCTCTAAAGAGAACAGTAATAAAATACACTCTTCAAAATAGGATTACAAATTTCTAAGAAGCTCATTGAAATATTTCTCCACAACTGAAAAAGGAAATCTGCCTAATAAACTGCTCCAGAGTCAAGAGAAATCAAGGCAGAGCAGGACTTGCTTGATTGTAATGAGCCCGGTGGTGCATTTGGAGCTGAGCCCTGGAACCTCAGGGCCTGAGAGGAGATTGCAAAAACCTTTCCAGGAGTCAAAGTCAGAGGAAAACCCCAAAGTTTCTTGAGGCATGAAAGGGTCCCACTGAGGTCCATCCACAACACAGGCTCCTCATGGACTCCTTGGAGGGGAGAATTGGAGGCCACAAGTGGAAAAAACACCTCTCAGAGATTCAGAATGGAAAGGAACTTCCAAAGTACCTTAAAAACCTTGAGTATCTCAAAGTATTAATGAGCCCCACTGAGTGTCAGTCCAAAGCTCTCAAGGGATTTGTTAAAGCGGATAATTGGGGCCATGATTGCATAAACTTCTCACAGAGTCTGTATCAAAAGGGAAACACCAAATACCTTAAAATAACTGAAGTACCTTGAAGCATTAATAAGCCCACTGAGACATTACTGATAAATGCTCTAAAGGGACTAATTAAAGCAGATAATTGGAGGCTGTGAGTGCACAGTCTTTCTCATGGTGTCTGTATGAATAGGGAAACACCAAGTACCATAAAAAAACTGAAGTATCCTGAAGCATTAACGAGCCCCACTGAGTGTTGTTACTGACAAAGCCTCTCCAGGGACTAATTACAGCAGATAAATGAAGGCCATGATTGCAGAAAACTCTCAGAAACTCCAAGGCAAAAGAGAAACCCAAAGTCCTTTGAAGAACCTGCAGTCCCTGGGAGCATTAAGGAGGCCCCAGGGCCATTCCTGAGCAAGGCTCCCAAGGGACTCCTTCCAGCTGATCCTTGAGGCCACTGGGATGTGGGCTAGTGGGGGATGCTGAGGGCAGGACAAGGGGCTGACAGTACCCAGCCTGGCTGGGGCTGTGCCAGGAGGCCCCAGGGCCTCAGGACAAGGTGGCTCCTACCAGCCCTTGGTGGCACAGATGCTACTGCTGTGCCCCAGGGCACCAAGACTTGGCTTCTCTTTGTCACCACCTGTCATCACTGCCTCCAGTTCTCTGCTCTGCCTGGGGCCTGGGGACACTTTCTCAGTTGTGTCCCTCACTGGGATCCATTAAAGGTCCAAGAAAGTTTAGAGTTGGATTCTGACTTGGAGTTCTGGAGAGGTTCCTTCAGCTCCCTCTCAGGGACTGATGTTCAGGGCCTGAGCACAAAGCCCCAGGGGCTCATTAAAGTCCTTGTGCTGTGTCTGTGCTGCTGAGCTGGGCTGGGCTCCTAGCACAGAGGCAGCTCCTGGTAACCAAGAAGAGCTTCAAAAGCACATTTCTCATGAGAAGCAGCTCTTCTGCCAGCCCAGCAGGGCTGGGGAACTGCCTGCAGCCACCCCGGGCACAGCAGAGAGGCACAGAGAGTTTCAATCAGTCAGGGCTGGGAAGGTGCTGAGAAGTGCCTGGGGAAGAATCACTGCTAGCCCTTGGCACAGGAACCTCTGGCTGCAGGACAATGCAGCTTCAGCTCCTGGAGTCACCTCCTAAAGCTGGAACATCCCAATGCCTACAGACCTTGTGAGTACATTCTCTGATTGTCTCTTGTGCAGAGCAGCCAGGGGTGCCCAGGTCTGTCGTACAGAGCAGGGTCCTGCAGCCCAGGGCACTGTGCTGGGGCAGGGACTCTGCTGCCTGCCAGGGACAGCTCTCAGCCAGCCCTGGAAGCTGCTCCCAGCACTGGGGGAGAAGATCTGGGTGGGAGGAGACAGCTGGTAAAGCTTGCAAATGTTCTGCTTGTGTGGGGAGGATGCTGCATTGCTCAGGACTGCTCCCAGCATGGCATTTAACTGCAGAACATTTCCAAGCGGATTATACAGGGAGCACAGCAAGGCAGGGACTGCATGAAAGGGGAAATTCTCCTTTTTTATTCTACTGCTCTGGGCTGCCTGGATGGGAAATTGCACATAGATATTCATCTCTAAGTTCAGACTGAGGAAAATAAATACATTTTTTCTCAGATCTCAATACAACAATCAGTGACAGAAATCAGCACAAAAATCAGGGCTCTTAGAGAGTGCATCAGTGTCACTTTTCCAGCCTCCTCAGGGTTGCTCTGACATTGCCATCAGAGCCTGCAGAGCCAAAGCTGTCCCTGGGCACTGCCAGGGCTGGGAGGGGGCTGCAGGGCAGAGCTGAGCCCCCAGGGCTGGGTTGGCCTCTGGCAGAACTGGCAGGGTCCAGCCCTGGGCTCAGGGAAGGAGCTCCTGGCAGGGACAGTTCCAGGCAGCAGAGCCCTGGGCAGGCAGTGGGGAAAAGTGCCCCAAGATGTGCTGGGATATTTAAAGTCCTCTCCAAGCCCAACTATTTCATGATTACTTTTTATACAGAACCCCATTCTAAGGCAGAACAAATGTCCAACAGCAGCTCTGTCAGGCACTTCCTCCTGCTGGCATTGGCAGACACGCGGCAGCTGCAGCTCCTGCACTTCTGCCTCTTGCTGGGCATCTCCCTGGCTGCCCTCCTGGGCAACGGCCTCATCATCAGCGCCGTAGCCTGCGGCCACCACCTGCACACGCCCATGTTCTTCTTCCTGCTCAACCTGGCCCTCAGTGACCTGGGCATGATCTGCACTACTGTCCCCAAGGCCATGCACAATTCCCTCTGGGACACCAGGAACATCTCCTACAATGGATGTGCTGCTCAGGTCTTTCTGATTTTCTTCTTCATCACAGCACAGCTTTCCCTCCTGACTATCATGTTCTACGACCGCTACGTGTCCATCTGCAAACCCCTGCACTACGGGACCCTCCTGGGCAGCAGAGCTTGTGCCCACATGGCAGCAGCTGCCTGGACCAGTGTCTTTCTCCATGCTCTGCTGCACACATCCAATACATTTTCCCTGCCCCTGTGCCATGGCAATGCCCTGGGCCAGTTCTTCTGTGAAATCCCCCCATTCCTCAAGCTCTCCTGCTCTTACTCTTACCTCAGGGAACTTGGGCTCATTGCTGTTAGTGCCTGTTTGGTATTTGGCTGTTCTGTGTTCATGATTTTCTCCTATGTGCAGATCTTCAGGGCTGTGCTGAGGATCCCCTCTGAGCAGGGATGGCACAAAGCCTTTTCCACCTGCCTCCCTCACCTGGCAGTGGTCTCCCTGTTCCTCAGCACCTCATTTTTTACCTACTTAAAGCCCCTGTCCATATCCTCCCCATCCCTGGATCTGGCCCTGTCATTTCTGTACTCAGTGGCGCCTCCAGCCTTGAACCCCCTCATCTACAGCCGGAGCAACCAGGAGCTCAAGGCTGCTGTGAGGAGTCTGATGACTGGATGCTTTCAGGAACTATAAACTGCTGGAAAATTTCTGAAAATCACTCATAATAAAAGTTATCTTTGATACTTCTTTAATGTTTGTTTGTGGGGTTTTTTCTTCTGTATTACATTGATTAATACTGTCCCCAAAGAAATGTCATTGTTTGTGCCATTTCTGCACAAGCAGATGTTTGCACTGCAGCAGCAATGTCTGTGTGCAAAGCTGGGGCAGATCAGTGCGGGCCCAGCAGCTGTGCCCAGCAGCAGCAGCACTTGGTGTTGCCAGTGCTGCTGCCGTGGCCCTGCCCCGCTGCCCTGGTGGCCCTGGTGTTGCTGTAGGGCCTGAGTGCTCTCGGGGCCGGGCACAGTCCTGGGGGTGGCAGTGCCGGGGCTGGCCATAGGCACTGCTGGGGCAGCGCTGACGCCTCAGGCCAGGGCCTGGGGGCTCCAGGCTCCTTGCCCAGGCTCTCTCAAGAACATGGCCAGCATGATGCTCGGCACAGAAAACCCCCATGAGCAGCCCCAGGCTGGCCGTGAGCAGGCTGGGGGCAAACAGCATGGCTGGGGCTCTGCAAGGGCCCTTGGGGAGACGGGAAGGAGCAGCAGAACAGGGGCTGATCCATGCCAAGTGTGCTGGACAGCCCAGGACAGCGTCCCAGAGCGTCCTCTAGGAGCTGCCAACAACATCCCCCCTCTGCAGCCCTGGCCTCTCCCCCAGCTCACACAGGTGCCCCATCCTTGCAGGCACAGACACGGCAGCACTGGCTCAGCAGCCCCTGTTTGCATTGCACACAGCAGGTGGGAGCACCCCCATGCTGTTGGTGTGGGGACATGAACCTGAGGGATCACAAATGCCATCAGCCCCTGGGGCCAGCAAGGGCTGGGGCACACCAGGGAAACCACTCAGCTTTGTCTTGGCCTCTGCAGTCAGCCAGAAAGTTTGTTCCCATCAGCTGGGCATTTCCTGTCCCACTGCAGACGCTGTTGCTCAGAGCCAGGGCTGCCTGGCAGCCACCCCCAAACTGCCCTCAGCATTTCCTTTGCTTCAGCTTTGCTTTCTTTACTCCTCCTGCTTCAAATTTCTTCTAATTGCCCACCCCATGGGGCCCAGAACTGGACAGAGCACTCGAGGTGCTGCCCAACAAGTTCCCCCAAGCACAGGGGAAGAATCCCTGCCTTGCTCCTGCTGGCCACACCATTCCTGATCCAGGCCAGGAGCCATTGGCCTTCTTTGCCACCTGGGCACACTGCTGGCTCATGTCCAGCCTACTGTCCATCAGTCCTGCAGGCCCCTTTTTGCCTGGCTGCTGTCCAGCCACTCTCTCCCCACCCTGTAGTACAGGAGCCAAAAAGCAGGGCCTGAATGGCCCTGCATTTGTTAAACCTCCTCTTGTTGGATTCATCCTCTGGACCCAGCCTATCAAGGTCCCTGTGCAGACCACTCCTATGTTCCCTCAGATCAACACTCACATCCAGCTTGGTGACATCTGCAAAGATATCTTTGGTTCCTCGGGGCCCCTCAGTGTCACAATGGCCCCGCACTGTCACACTGGTCTCCTTTGTTCCATGGGGCCCCAAAATGTGACATTAGAATTCTTGGTTCTATGGGGCTTCACAGTGTCACAATGTTCTTGTTGGTGCTGCAGTTTCACAGTGGCCACTTGGTTCCATGGGGCCCCAGAGTGTCACAATGGTCCCATGGTCACATGAGGTCCCACACTGTCTCAATGGTCTCTGTGGTTCCACAAGTCCCCTCAGTGTCACAATGGACTCCTTGTTTCCATAGGGCCTGCAGTGACACAATGTTTTTCCAGATCCCTTGAGGCCCCATGGTGTCACAGTGGCCCCTTTGTTACACAGGATCCTGCTGTGTCACAATGTCCCCTTGGTTCCATGAGGCCCCGCAGTGTCACAACGACCTCTTGGTTCCACTGGGCCCTGGAGTCTACCAGTGGTCTCCTTGGTTTTGCAGTGTCCAAATGGTGAAATCCCTTGGTTACACAAGGCCCTGCAGTGTTACAATGGCCTCTGTGGTTCCAAAAGGACCCAGAGTGTCACGGTGCACTCCCTGGGTCCTTTTGGCCCCACAGCACCACAATGGACCCCTGGTTCTGTGGGGCTGCACGGTGTCACCATGGTCCCCTTAGTTCCATGAGGCCCAGCAGTGTCACAATGACCCCAGAGTGTCCCAATAATCACAGAATGACAGAATCAAATAGGCTAGAAAAGACCTTTGGGATCATCAAGCCCAACCAATGCCCTAATACTGCCTTGTCACCCCGACCATGCCACTAAGTGCCACTGGAGAGAGACAGTGACTCTGCCACCTCCCCCCTGGCCAGCCCATTCCAGTTCCTACTCACCCTTTCTGTGAAGAACTTCTTCCTATTGTCCAACCTAAACCTCCCCTGGTGCAGCTTCAGGCTGTGTCTTCTTGTCCTGCCCTCCAGCAGATCCACACTCACACCCAGCTTGGTGACATCTGCAATTTGTGAATGGTGGACTCGATCCCCTCAGCCAGATCATCAGTGAAGATATTAAACAGGACTGAGCCCAACACAGATCTCTGGGGGACACCACCAGTGCCTGGACACCAGGTGGGTGTAGCACCATCCCCACCACTGTCTGGGCCCAGCCTCCAGCCAGCTCTTAAATCTGCCAGTGAGGAGGGAACCTGCCCAAGCCGTGGCCTGCAGCTTTTCCAGGGAATGCTGTCAGAGACAGAGTCAAAGGCTTTGCTAAAGTCCAGGCACACAACATCCACAGCCTTTCCTGCATCCACAGGTGGGTCACCTGGTAATAAAAGGAGACCAGAGTGGTCAGGCAGGACCTGCCACCCCTAAATCCACGCTGGCTGGCTCTGATCCCTCGGCCATCCTGTTGGTGCCCTGGGATGGCACTCAAGGTGATCTGTTCCATAACCTTGCCGGGCACCCAGGCCAGGCTGACAGGCCTGGAGTTCCCCAGCTCCTCCTTCCAGCCCTTCTTGGGGATGGGGCTCACACTGGCACCTCCAGTCCTCTGGGACCTCCCTGGTGAGCCAGGACTGATGGTAAATGATGGAGAGCGGCCTGGGGATCTCATCCACAGCTCCCTCATCCCCCAGGATGGATCCCATCCAATCCCATACACCTGTGAGCATCTGAGTGGCTCAGCAGGTCACCAACTGCTTCCGCCTGGATTCCAGGGGTCTGTTCCGCTCCCTGTGCCCATCCACCAGCTCAGGAGAACACTTGTCCTGAGAACAGCCTGTCCTAATATTGAAAATTGAGAAAAACAAGGTGTTAAGTAGCTCAGCCTTTTCCTTATCTTTAGTTTCTATATTCTCCTCTGCATCCAATAAAGAGTAGAGGTTCTCCTTCTCCCTCCTTTTGCTAAAAATATTTTATACAAACTTTTTTTTTACAGGATGGGCCAGGGTAATTTCTGATTGAGCTTTCACCTCTCTGATTTTCTTTCTGAAAATCTAAGGTCATCCTTAAACCCTTCCTGAATTGCTAGTCCTTTTTTCCCCTGCGTTCCCACAAAAGCTCCATGGGCAGCCAGGACAGTCATTTTCCTGACTAGATCATCTTTTGCCACACTGGGACAGGCTGCTCCTTCCCCCTTAAGATTACTTTCTTGAAATGTGCCGATCCTTTCTGGACCCCTTTGTTTTTAAGGGCTGTTTCCCTTAAAAAAATCAGTACCTGATTCGGTACTCTCCAAATCAGCATCCTAAACAGGCCAAAGTCTGCCCTTCCTAATTCCAGTGCAGAAGTTTTGTTCCTGTCTCTCCTTCTTTCAGAGAACATTGAAAACTTGATTATTTCATGGTCACTTTGCCCCAGGCAGCCTCTGACCCCCACATCTGCAACCAGCCCTTCTCTGTTTGTGAACAGCAGCAGACAGAGCTTTCCTTGGCAGTAGGAGTGTTACCAAAAATTCAGTAAAACAGAAAACTCCTTAACACCAATGCAGCATTTAGAAGCAGCATTCTTTATTCAGCTGGATTCACAGGGGACAGCCCTTCCCAAAGCCATGCATGCTGAGTATAGTAAAGTTTCTCTTTATTTTCTGTATTTTGCGCATACATTCATTGATTGTCCTGGACTAAACATACATATGATAATCATTTCCCCAAAATCATTAACAGATTTCCCCTCCCCTTTTGCATGCGTTCTTCTGTCCTAGGGGTCTCTTTGATGGTCCCTGGTGGTCGTGGAGCCCAATGTTCCCGTGGGCCTGGCTGAGCTGGCAGGACACTTAGGCTGCTGAACTTCCAGTTCCCTTCTCACACAATGGGCATTGTGTGGTTTCCATAGGCCTGGGGTTTTGGAGAACAAGCCCCAGGTGTCAGCTCACCTGGTGTAGACAATTTATCATCTGGAAACATGAGGTCACAGAGTGAGCTGTGACATCACAGAGTGGGTTATGTGAGGTCATTGAGTATCTATGACATCATAGACTGTCTCTGTGACATCACAGAGCCAGCTATGACATCACAGGACAGAGATCTGACATCACAGAGCAGATGATGACATCAGAGATTTGGTTGTGACATTAGAGTCCAGCTCTGTGACATTTGAAAATGGTCTGTGACATCACAGACTAGGCTGTGACATCACAGAGGGGCTGTGTGACATCCCAGCAGGGCTGTGTCAGGTCACTGGGTTGGTCACTCTGCCCCAGCTCCCCCTCACAGTTTCTCCCAACAAGTCCAATGCTGTCCATGCCCAGCAGGGTCCCTGTCCCCTGGGATCCCCCCGGCCCACCTGGAACCACAGCCTCCAGCAAAGGATATTCCACAGGATCAGCCCCAGAGCCTGACATGGGGACAAGGGGCCGGGGCTGTGTGACCAGGGCTTTAAGGACGGGGATTATCCAGGTCACTGTGGCCTGGGTTGGGTTCCCCCGGGCAGGAAAGATGTCTGGCAGCTGGAGCAGGGTCTGGGAAGAGCCTCCAAGGTGGGGCTGGAGCCCCTGGGCTGTGAGCAGAGGCTGAGGGAGCTGGGC